TGTCTTTGATATTTATAACAGCCTTATAAAGATGATGCAGGAATTTTTCTCTGCTTTGTTGATTGTGGAAATCATGGCTCACAAAAAAGAACTTACCTGCCTAATGGTCTTATGGCTCATAAATAAACAGAAGGACTTGATTTTAAGTGTTGGTGTTAATTTACTGTGCTTCCTACAATAATATTATTCCCTATACAGTGCCCAGTAGACTGCTTTACACGTTAAAAGGCCTATAAATGTTATTTCTTGATTGTTTTCTTTTAGGACTAAGGTAATTCTGAAGTCTATCTCAGGAAACTTGAAAATCTATCTTAACTCACATTTAATACTAGTGGTGTATGTATGAAAGATTTGGATCCATTTCTTTCATGTTGTATTGATATCTCAATTCTCAGATATATGCTATTTAGCAGAGTTTCTAAAGCAATGCTTTCTCCACAGTAATTTTTAATTAGTATATTTAGCACTTACAGTTTTTTCCCTACAAAAGGACTGTAAGATTTCTGAAGGCAGTGATCATATCTAAGTATTAATACTCTCTTCGCATCCCCACATTCTTTAAAAAAGATGGAGTGGTTTAGATAGAAGGCAGCAGGTGTTTTTGGACAGAATGGGATAGCTTAAGCAAGACAGGGAAATATTAATTACCCCTGTCCACCACTCCCCACCCCCAACTTCCACCTTAGAGGGTTTTTTTTGTTTGTTTTTTTAAGATTTTATTTATTTATTAGAGAGAGAACAAGCTGGAGGGAGAGCAAAAGAGAATCTGAAGCAGACTCTGCACAGAGCCCGATACGGGACTTGATCCCAAGATCACAAGATCATGACCTGAGCTGAGACCAAGAGTTGGCAGCTTAACCAGTTGAGCCACCCTAGGGCTCCCACCTTAAAGTCTTTTTTATTTACACCTAGATTTAGACTCTCCAGGCAACCAGGCTGATTAAAAAAACTAACACTAATAAATCAGAAATAACAACTCTTTGTTGCATGCCATTATTCTTTTTGCCTTGAGATAGGTAACTCAACCCAGCTAGTTACAGTCACCCACTTACAATGGTTTGATTTATGACAATGATATGGAAGCAATACTCATTCAGTAGAGTTTTGAATTTTGATCTTTTCCCAGGCTGGTGATATGTAGCCCCTCTTGATGTTGGGCAGTGGCAGTTCCTAGTCCGCCACATGACCATGAGGGTAAACAACTGATACACTTAAAACCATTCTCTCTCTCTCTCTCTCTCTCTCTCTCTCTCTCTCTCTATCTCTCCTTCCTTAACTCTCGTATGCTATTCAGTAAATTATGTGAGATGTTCAACATTTTATTACAAGATAGGTTTTGTGTTAGATGATTTTGCCCAACTGTAGGCTAGTGTAAATGTTCTGGGCATGTTTAAGGTAGGCTGGGCTAAGCTATGACATTTGGTAGGTTAGGTGTATTAAATGCATTTCAACTTGGGATATTTCCAGTTTACAATGAGTTTATCAGGAGGTAACCCATCAAGGAAAAACTGTACAGTTACCTTAAAAAAAATATTTTATTTATTTATTTGAGAGAGAGGGTTAGAGATAAATGAGAGAGAGCGCACAAGCGGGGCAGGGGGTGGTTGTTGCAGAGAGGGGAGAAGTAGGCTCCTGACTAAGCAAGGAGCATGAAGCAGGGCTGGATCCCAAGGACCCTGATAATGACCTGAGGTGAAGGTAGACTTTAACCAACTGAGCCATCCAGCCACCCCTGCAATTACTTTTTTTTTTTTCTGCAATTACTTTTTAAGGTTAGTTCACTCATTTGTAGGTTTACAGTGATAGGCAAAGTATTGCTTAAAAAGTTTTTCTTAAATTTTCTTTTTTTGAGTAAACAACTGTGTTGACATAAAATTAATAGACAAACTGTATATATTTACCAGTTTTATTATATATTTAAGGTTTAAACTTGGTAAGTTTTGGTATGTGAAATCACTCATAAAATCATTAACCCTAATAAAGAAAATGAATATACTACCAATCACAGAATTGCTTACTGCCCCTTTGTAACACCATCCACCGCCTGTATCTGTGGCATCCTACCACCCTCATCACCCTCCATTGTCCCCAAGCAATGAATGATCTGCACTGTTACCCAGGTTACTTGGTATTTTATAGAATTTTATATAAATGTGATCATACAGCACTTTTGTCATGCTTTCATACAGCACGATTATTTTCAGATTCATTAATATTGTGTGCATCCACTAGTAGTTCATTCCTTTCTTTTTTGGATATATTTTTTTATTGGAGTTCGATTTGCCAACATATAGCATAACACCCAGTGCCCATCCCGTCAAGTGCCCCCCTCAGTGCCTGTCACCCAGTCACCCCATCCCACCGCCCACCTCCCTTTCCACTACCCCTTGTTCGTTTCCCATAGGTAGGTGTCTCTCATGTTTTGTCACCCTCTCTGATATTTCCTGCTCATTTTCTCTCCTTTCCCCTTTATTCCCTTTCACTATTTTTTATCTTTCCCAAATGAGTGAGACCATATAATGTTTGTCCTTCTCTGATTGACTTACTTCACTCAGCATAATACCCTCCAGGTCCCTCCACATCGAAGCAAATGGTGGATATTTGTCATTTCTAATGGCTGAGGAATATTCCAGTGTATATATAGACCACATCTCCTTTATCCATTCATCTTTTGATGGACACTGAGGCTCCACAGTTTGGCTATTGTGGACATTGCTGCTATAAACATCGGGGTGCAGGTGTCCCGGCGTTTCACTGCATCTGTATCTTTGGGGTAAATCCCCAACAGTGCAATTGCTGGGTTGTAGGGTAGTTCTATTTTTAACTCTTTGAGGAACCTCCACACAGTTTTCCAGAGTGGCTGCACCAGTTCACATTCCCACCAACAGTGCAAGAGGGTTCCCCTTTCTCCACATCCTCTCCTACATTTGTTGTTTCCTGTCTTGTTAATTTTCCCCATTCTCACTGGTGTGAGGTGGTATCTCATTGTGGTTTTGATTTGTATTTTCCTGATGGCAAGTGATGTGGAGCATTTTCTCACGTGCTTGTTGGCCATGTCTATGTCTTCTTTGGTGAAATTTCTGTTCATGTCTTTTTCCCATGTCATTATTGTATTGTTTCTTTGCTGTTGAATTGAATAAGTTCTTTATCGATCTTGGATACTAGCGGTTTATCTGATAGGTCATTTGCAAATATCTTCTCCCATTCTGTAGGTTGTCTTTTAGTTTTGTTGACTGTTTCAGTTCATTCCTTTCCATTGTGAAGTAGCATTCCATTATATGGATATGCCACAATTTGTTTATCCATTCACCTGTTGATAGACATTTGAGTCACTTACCATTTTTGACTGTTACAAATAAAGCTGCTGTCTCTGTGTTCGTTTGTGTATGAGTCTCTGAAAGGACATAGGCTTTCATTTCTCTTGGATGAATACCTGAGATAGAATGTGTAAATCCTATAGAATGTGTAAATCCTATGATAGGTGTAATTTTAACAACTTAAGAAATTACTAAACTGTTTTTACAAAGTGGTACCATTTTACATTCCCACTGGGCAGTGCATTAGAGTTCTAATTTCTTCACTTCCATTAATTAACTTCTGAAATTTTAGCCATTCTAAAAGGTGGATAGTGGTATCATTGTGGTCTTAATTTGCATTTCCTAAATGACTAATGATCTTGGGCTTCTTTTCACATGCTTATTTTCATGTGTTTATCTTCTATGGCTGAGTGCATGGTGAAATCTTCGCCTGTTTTTTAATTGTATTGTTTTATTGAGTTTTGAGAATTCTTTATATCTTCTGGAGACAAGTCCTTTATCAGATAAATAATTGGGAAATATATTCTTTCAGTATATGGCTTGTCTTTTTGTTGCTCCATAGTGTCTTTCTTTCAAAAAATAGAGTTTTCAATCTTGGTAAGAGTCCAGTTTATCAATTTGTTCTTTTATGGATCATGGTTTTGGTGTTGCATCTAAGGAAATGTTACCTTACTCAAGGTCACACATTTTCGTCTCCATGTTCTTGAAGTTTTATGGCTTTAGGTTTCCCGTTTGAACTGATGATCCATTTTGAATTAATTTTTGAATCTGGTGTGAGTATGGATTGAAATTTGTTTTGTTTTGCATATAGATATCCCATTGTTCAGCACAACTTAATGAGAAGATTACCATTTCTTCACAGAGAGAAAGCTCTGTATCCCTGTAGAAAGCTGGTTGCCCATATAGGTGTTGGTCTCTATTCTGTTCCATTAATCTGTTTTTCTGTCTTTATACCAATATTCTGTTAGCTTGATCATTGTGGTTCTTTAGCTATAACCCCTTGTTTTATTATTTTAACAATTGCTTTAAGATTTATGATATAGGTTTTTAACTTATTATAAACTGATGTACCTTTAAGTAATATTATATCAATTAATGTATAGTTTGAGAACATTAAAACTGCATGCTTATATTATGTCTCTTCCCCCCAAACTGGGAGCCAGTGTCATACATTTTACTTCTACCTGTGTTATAAACTCTACACTACATGGTATTATTTTTGCTTTAAGCAGTCAGTAACTATTTACCCTTTTAAAGCTATTTTCAGTTCTTTGTATAGAATCAGACTTCCATCTGCTACCATTTCCTTTTTGTATGATTCCTTTTTGCATTTTTTTAATAATGCAGACCTGTTAGTGACAAATATTTTCAATTTTGGTATGCCTGAAAAAAGCCTTTATTTCATGTTTATTTTGAAAGATATTTTGGGTATAGAGTTTTAGGATCGCAATTTTTCTTTCCTTTCAGTGCTTCACTATTTTCTTCCTGCTATTATTTCTAATGGCTAACCTGCTTTAACCGTTTTCTTTGTGTTTCTGATATAATGTACCCTGTTTTTTCTAGATGCCATTTAAGCTGGATGTCCAAAATAGTTCACCTCAGTTTGGATTTTTGTCATATAGTTTAAATAAATCCAGTCCTGTCACATCTGTGCTGATATTTAGCTCTTCCTTTTTCACATAGGCCTGAAGTGTTAGAAGAGTCACCTCCAGTCCCCCAGAAGGGAAGTTTTCAGATTGTTCCATGCAACTGCAGTGTTCATGACAGCTGTGAATGCCATGTGCCTGTGCCAACAGCCAAACTCAACCACACTCTTCTTATGTATTTGAAAATCACGTTGGGTGGAATAAATTTTCAGTCACCTCTAATGTCAGTTCAGCCCATAAATGTTGGTAAGTTGTGCATTAGAAAGGTAATAGATCTAAACATCAGTCATACAAACAGGTTAAATTTGTGTACAAAATTTTTCAATAGCCTATCTTACTTTGACCAATGTGGTAAGGACAGCAAATGTAGAACTGGGAATCTTAAAAGCAGCTTCTAGAATGTTTTCACAGTAGTATAGATATCTCTGCAATTATAACTTCAGTTCTTTCTTTCTTTTTTAAAGATTTACCTATTTATTTTAGAGAGGGAGAGAGAGTGTGTGCAAGTGCGAGTGAGGGGAGAGGCAGAGAAAGACTTTTTAAGCAGATTCTTCACTGAGCATGCAGTCTGATGAAGGTCTTGATCTCATGACTCTGAGATCATGACCTAAGCAGAAACCAAGAATTGGACACTTACTTAACTTACTGAGTCATTGAGGCCCCCCCCTTAAATTCTTTCTTAAGAACAGTTTTTCTTTCAGTCTTGGATCTGTCTAAATGATATGTATTATTTGGTTGTTACTTTTTCACTTGTCAGATAACAATTTCTAAAAGTAATTAGAAGTTTATTTTTTTATCTTTATTTTATACTTTTTTTATTCCTTCAATAAATATTTCTTAGAAGCTCATGTATGTCAGCCACTGATCTAGGAGTTGGGGAAACAGTGGTGAATGAGACAAAGTTCCTGCCTCAAAAACCAGAGACAAACAATAGTGAGCAGAGAGAAACAATAAAAAAGTAAACAACTAAATAATTTGCTATACAAATCTGATTGTAAGAAAAATCCAAATAGGTAGTGCCATCACATATTTTTAGTGCAAAGATTCTCAGTTTTTTTTGATCAGCTTGAACATATGATTACAAATGTGAATAATATAGGCCATGTTCACTTAAAATATTTAATTTATTAACTTACTTTTATATAGGTATGTATTTTATATATAACATATAACTTAACAGCATTACTATTTTCCCTATTTCCTGAGACCATTATATATAAACTCTTTGCATGCATCTTAGCATCAGTAGATGTCTAGTGACATTAGAGCCACTTTTCCAAGTATCTCACACAAAGTTTGCTACACAACTTCACTGTCATTTCCTTCTAAGTTACTGGGGATATGCCACTTTTTGAATCTGCATGACATCATATTTTAACATTAGGATTTTCAAATAATTTGTTCTCTAGGGTTATATTTGTGGTCTCTACAACATAATTAAAATGCCATCTAAGCAATTCTGTCATGAAGTTATACCACAGGAAAAATATATATGAAATTTATAAAATATTGTTATGTTCTCTTTTAAAAACTAATTCTGTCAGGTGATTTTTAGAAACATTTAGAGCCAAAATTTAATTAAGTATTTAAAAAAATAGTTAAGAGAAGGTGCTATGATAGAGTTTGTAAGAAATTTAAATTTTGTCTTTTCCTCAGAAATAATATTTTTTAAAGATTTTTTATTTATTTATTCATGACAGACACACAGAGAGAGGCAGAGACACAGGCAGAGGGAGAAGCAGGCTCCATGTAGGGAGCCTGACATGGGACGCAATCCCAGGATCACGCCTGGGCTGAAGGCGGCACTAAACTGCTGTGCCACAGGGGCTGCCCAGGGATAATCTTTTGAGAAAAAAAATTTTCCTTATACTTGGGCACATATGATAATGTCCTAAAATGTTAAGTGCCACAAAAGAAATAAGACATGGAGAGGGCCAGGTAGGTGTAAGGACTGTTATTTCAGCTATGGAGGTCAAAGAAGACCTGTTAAAGAGATAGCATTTGGGATGAATGTAAAAAAGAGATAGCCATGCAAAAATCCAGAGCAAAAGGTGCCTCAAGCAGGAAAAATAGCACCCATAAAACCTCTGAAATGGACTGAGCTTGGAAGTTGGAGGAACCAAAGAGAAAACGTTTGTGCTTAGAGTGAATAAGGCAGGGGAATGTTTGGAAGATGTGGTCAGAGGTATTGGATTCAGGTCATATGGTAGGCCAGGCTATAGAGTTTAGATTTTATTCTAATTACAGCGGAAGTTTTGAACCAATAGAGTGGTATTGTCAGGTGTGTGTGTGTGTTCTATCTGTGTGTGTATTTAAAATTTACTTGACATGTGAAGAAGGAAATCAATGGGGAAAAGAAGAATAATAGTTACAAGACTGAAATCAGAAGGCTCAGACAGGAGGCTAACTGGAATGATCTAGCTGGTTTAGGAATGTAGCAGTAGAGAAGTAAAGAAATGATCATAGTTGGGATTCATTTGGGAGATGGGGCTGACCGAAATTTCTAGTGGATTGGGTGTAGAGTATGGGCAGAGAGGAACCAAGGATAACATTCAGACTTGGCCTTGAGCATGCCAGTGAATAGTGGTACCAGATACTAAGATGGGGAAATTTAGGGAAGATCAGGTATGTGACACATTATTTTTGAGATGCTTATAGATATCCAAGAGATGCTGAGTAGACAGTTGGACATATGATCCTAGAGTTCAGGAAAGATATATATGGGAGTATCTGGCATATAGATGTTTATGGGACTGCCTGAGATCATCCACTTAGAGTTCAGTAAGAGAAAGACTGAGGCAATCAGAGAGAAAAGAGGAGTAAAAGAGGTTGGTGGCCTGGAAGCCATGTGGAAACAGAGTGAGCAGCTGTGGAATGCCACTGACAAGTGGAGTAAAATGCATCAGACAACTGGCATTGTATTTGGCAAAGGATGATGACTTTGACAGAGAAGTTTTGGTGGATTGCTGAGAAGGAAGACCTAATCACAGTAGGTTGGTTAGGAAAATGGAACACAAAGTGTGGAGAGTGAGTAGTGCCAACTTTTTCAAGGAATAATACTCTGAAAGAAGCAGGTAATGGCAGTATATCTTAGACTGGGGACATGGGTGGTCCAGTGAATGATTTGTTTTTAGATTTCTAATATTAAGGCACATATGTATGCAGGCAGGAAATATACGATAGTTTATAATTTCATGATTTCTAATATTTCTTTATTTTATTTTAGTTTTTATTTGAGAGAGAGAGAGAGAGAGAGAGCACAAGCTGAGGGGAAGAGGCAGAGGGAGAGGGAGAAACAGACTCCCCACTGAGGAGGGTGCTTGATATAGGGCTCAGTCCCAGGACCCTGGGATCATGACCTGAGCCAAAGGCAGCCACTTAACCAACTGAGCCACCCAGGCACCCCTAATTTCATGATTTTTGTTTGATGTTTTTGTTTTGATTTCTTTTTGATCATGAGAACTCAACTAATTTCACCTATTATTTCTAGACTTTAGTGTTTGTGCTTTAAAGTAACTAAAATTTGTAATATGTCACATAAAGTAAAAGCTTTATAAATTTTGACTCAAGAGAAAAACTATGTCTAAATTTTCGAAGATATAGTATGTTAATAATAATATGCCACTTTAGTTCTTGATAAATAAAATTTAAATCAGCCAGCACTTCAGTGTAATGATTATTTCTACATATGTTAAGTCCTGCTATTTAAAATCTTGAAAAAAACAGGGCAGCCCTGGTGGCGCAGCTGTTTAGCGCTGCCTGCAGCCCAGGGCATGATCCTGGAGACCCTGGATTGAGTCCCACAGTCAGGCTCTCTGCATGGTGCCTGCTTCTCCCTCTGCCTGTGTCTCTGCATCTCTATGAATAAATAAATAAAATCTTAAAAATAAAATAAATAGAATCTTGAAAAAACAGAGATGCACAGAAAAGAGAAATGCATCATCTATTTTCTATCATTTTGGCATTTTGTTTCTATTTTATATATATTTGTAAATATACTTTTATTTGTTAATTTTAACAAATCAGGAACTAAAAGTATAAATGATGTTTAATAAACTTTTAAAACTAAAAATCTTAAACATTTTCAGTATTCTTCTCCAATATGATTTTTAAAGGTTGCATAGATTTCCCTTATAGGGATAAACCAGTATTTATTTAATCCTTTATTGTAAGAGGTTTACATTGTTTCTACAAATAATGTAAAGGTTATGTGTGTTTAAAACTATATACACACATGTACAACCTATATACAAATGCATATTCATATATGAACACATGCATATACACATGAACTCAAATCATTTACCAAGTTAAACACATTGTTAGGCTAAGAAACTCTATCCACATTTCTGGTGACAAGCCAGGGCCTGCAAATGCTATGTTTATTGCATGTAAAATACGCATACTGTGGATTTTTTGAGTAGATGTGCCTAGATTATATTTCAAAGTTAATAGACTTGCTGAATTTTGCATGCATATTTGCATGCATTTTTGCATGCAAACTAAGTATGCATTTTCCAAGTACTGTCCTGCAAAATGCTGTTCTTTCTTGTCACCCACTAAATCAGTGTGTGAGTATGGTGGGGGAATTCTGGAAGTTTGGGGAATGCTAGGTTAAATAAGGTTAGCAGACATTTTTTACAGCAGGAATTTATGTTTATCAAAACAACCTCATTACTGATTTATACTTATTACCACTTGGGAGAGGAAATGGGTATACATGGGTTGCTATGGAAAGATACAAGGAGACCTAATATTTTGCTTGTATAATTAGCCTTTGAATAAGGTCACCTTTTAAGTAGTTGAAAGAATGGGAAATGCTAAAAATTCATTTTGACTCTATTTTATGATTATCATGAAAATTGCTTGACTTAAAAATGTTCTTTTTTTCCTTAAGTGAAGCCTGATCCACCATTAGGTTTGCATATGGAGATCACAGATACTGGCAATTTAAAGATTTCTTGGTCCAGCCCAACATTAGTACCATTTCAACTTCAATATCAAGTGAGATATTCAGAGAATTCTTCAATAAATGTGAGAAAAGTAAGTATATTTTAGAAAATAAAATGAAAAGTTGAGAAGCAAGTAAAGATGAGATGCTTTCTAAGTCCCATAGAAAATGCCCTTTGTAGAGTACCTGGGTGGCTCAGTGGTTGAGCATCTGCCTTCAGCTCAGGTCGTGATCCTGGGGTTGTGCAGGCTCTCCATGTAGCCTGCTTCTCCCTCTGTATATGTCTCTGCCTCCCTCTGTGTGTCTCTTATGAATAAATAAATAAAATCTTAAAAAAAAAGAAAATGCCCTTTGCATGCCAAATATACATGGTCCTTCTAGAGCAGAATCAACTGTAAATTAATATTATATCATTGGCTTTCATTTAAGATCAGCATAGGAAATGAACACCTGAACAGCATGTCTGCATCTTTGGTAAAATCCTTTTAGAAAAATTGTTTGATGTTGCACAATCTCTCTTACCTATGGATGCATGTTATATGTTGAGGACTGTGACAAATTCCTCCCAGAATTTATTGCCAGAGAAGGTTCCTCTTCCAAAAAGAAGTTTACGTAGATTAGTATCTTTCTCTGTCTCTCCCTCTCCCTCTAGTTCCCTCTTCCTTACACACACAGCTAAATAACTACAGAAGTCCAGTTATAGAAACTTGAGTTAATAGTTATTTTTTTTTACTTACAGAGCTCTGGTTTTTTATTTTACAATTCAAACTTTTTAAAAAAAGATTTATTTATTTGAGAGAGAGAGCAAGTGGGTGGGGGGGGGAAGGGAAGAAAGAGAATCCAAGCAGACTCCCCACTGAGTGTGGAGTTGTCCTATGATGCAGGGCTGGATGTCACGACCCTGAGATCATGACCTGAGCTGAAATCACGAGTCAGACACTTAACCAACTGAGCCACCCAGGTGTCCCTCAAACTTTTTTTTTTTTATTGTTCAGTGTATTTATATACAGGCAGTGCTTTCATTTGTAATGAAAAGTGTGTGAAATTCTTTTCTCATTCTTTCAGTATTTATTGAGTACCCACTAGGTGCTAGGAACTGTTCTATTTGCACCAGGATATACTGGATGGTAGAGCTAACTGGACAAAGGAGTTTGAGAGTACTGGTGCTATAGGTTGTAATATTAAGTGGAGATGAGGAAGACCTCATTGAGAAGGTGACATTTGAGTGAGGACTTGAAGGAGGTTGGTGATGTAGATATCTGGGGGAATTAGTTTCCAAATAGAGACAACAGCAAGTCAGAGACCCTTAAGCTGGATGAGAAGCGAGAGGCCGGGAGAGTGAGTGAGGGCAAGAGTAGCAGTGGATGAGTCAAAAAGGAATAGGAGAGGAAAAGGAGAAGGTCATGGACTATAGCATTTGTTATATAATTTGGAAGTAAACACCTGTCTTTTAAGCTCTGGGCCTTTTTTTTTTTAAGACTTTATTTTCATAGAGAGCAGAAAAGGAATCCTTAGTGTCATGTGGGGAAAAAAAAAACAGAGGACAAGTTTGGAAAACAGAATTTATTTGCTAAGCAATTCTTAGTAGTGGTTGTTTTATGCAGAATTAGGTCTCTTAAATATTTTCCCTCTAGTTTTCAATCTGTATTTTGATTTATTATAGCTTATCTTTGGGTTCAGATTCTTAAAATTATTCATGCCCTCCTCTGTGACAGTTTCCTCTAGGAATGTTTATAATTCTCAGTCCATTCCTGCTCATCATTTTCTACCACATGTGTAATATAGATGTTAGCCGTGGCTTAAAACTCCCCATTGACTTTAGCCATACCTGTCAAATTTTGCAAGGTCAATATTCATTATCATTCAGTGAAAAATATCTGCTGATTGTCATTATGATTTTCTTCTTGGACTCATGGGCTACTTAAAATTTTATTGACAAAGGTGCAAACATTTGTTTTTTTTTTTTAAGATTTTATTTTTTTATTCATGAAACAGAGAGAGAGACAGTAGAGACATAGGCAGAGGAAGAAGCAGGCTCCCTGTGGGGAGCCTGATGCGGGACTCAGTCCCAGGACCCCGGGATCATGACCTGAGATGAAGGCAGACGCTCAACCACTAAGGCCCCCAGGTGTCCCAACATTTGTTATTGGTTACTGATTTTGGTTAAATCCCACTGTGGCCAGCTAACTATTCTAAAGCCTTTAATTCTTTGAAATTTCTTAGGACTGCTTGTTCTCCATTTTGATAAAGGTTCTATGTCAACTTGATGCTCTGATGTTTTCATTTTTCATGTTTAACAGGCTAATGAAATTGTCTCAGCTACATCTCTGCTAATAGACAGTGTGCTTCCTGGGTCTTCATACGAAGTTCAAGTGAGAGGCAAGAAACTGGATGGCCCAGGAATCTGGGGTGACTGGAGCACCCCTCTTATCTTTATCACACAAGGTAGGCTTTGTAAGAGTAGCTCCTATTGAGAGGAGAATATGCTTCCTGATTTCCTTTGGCCTATTATAAGCATCTTAAATTTTGTGGCAGTAAACCAAAAGGAAGGACACAATATTAATATTTTATTTAAATGTTGGCAGGTTAATTTGTGAATGAAAAATTTGTATAAGAGTTCCCATGTTTGTGTATCTTGCTGAATTATTCTTACCTATTCAAAATATAGGGTTAATAGAAAGGTTCCAAATTTACAAATTCAGAACATTACTGGTCTCAATGTTTCCTTTATTTACATTTAAAATCAGATCTATTTATTTGACATAAATTTCAAATATTCAAATTTCATTTAATTATTACATTTATGTAATATAATAAGTAATATAATGAAATAATTCTTTTCACTACAGATGCTTGCTTTTGAGACTTTTCACTTCCAATTTTCATATTTTTCAAGTTGTCTTTAACATCAGAGAAACTGTGGTTTATTCAAAACTTCCTCATGAAGTTGAGGTGGTGTTTTACAAAGAGGCCCAGGTGCCTAAGAATAGTCCAGCCCTGTCATATGCTAACTTGTTACCCTAGGAGGACACTTCATGGTCCTTTGCCTACTTGTCTGATCTGTCAAAAGAGCAAAATTATTCCTACTGAAATTCATGCAGGTTGATTATGGGTATGTAGAGACAGCAAGTAAATCACTGTAAATCACTAAGCAGATAGTCAACATATTTAATGAAATAAATTTGTTTATTGTTTACTTACTATTTAAAAAGCACTGATCAGGGCTGCCTGGGTGGCTCAGTCAGTTAAGCATCTGCCTTCAGTTCAGGTCATGATCCCAGGATTTTGGGATCGAGACCCACATCTGGCTTCTTGGTCAGTGGGGAGCCTGCTTCTATCTCTCCCTTTGCCATTCCTCTCAGTTGTGCTCTCTACCTCTCTCTCTCTGTCAAATGAATATATAAAATCTTTACAAAAATTGATTAGTCAAAGAATCAGTAGCATTAGTGGTTTAAGAGCACTGACTTGGAGTCTGACAAAATATTATAGATCTTCAGGCCCCACCACTTATTTGAAAAGTTTCTTAACCTTTCTATGCCTTGCCTCAATTTTCCCAATTGCAAAATAGGAACATTCTTATAGGGATAGAATGAATCCTTGTACCTACTGTGCTCACTGCAGTGCCTAATCCTTCGTAATCACTCAATAAATAGTATCTGCAATCATAGTTTATAAATCCATAATCTCAATACTCAAAATCTCTGTCTAATGAAGGTGAGAGGTTGACATGATACATAACTAATTGTATGAGCAAGGTTGTCAGAAGAGTTAACAAAGTACTAGGCAATAAGAAGGATTGGTTCTCACCAGGGAAGTCAAGAACCTTGTGTCAATGGATTTAGAAGACATGGATTTCTCATCACGATTCCTCAGATAATTATTGAACATCACAATGTGTGCGCCGACACCTCAGCTTCTGGAATTTTTCTAAGGAAGGTCACTTTTTCTACCTTCAGTGATTTATTGTTGATTAATAGGTCTTAATGAGCAGCTGTGAATTATGTAAAGAGGAATGAATTGCAACATCAACTTTTAAAGAATGTCCAATGGAGGCTTTTTATAGTGGGATGGGGTAAAGTGGATGGCAGAGGAGGGAAGTAACCCTGACTCCCACTCTGAGTGGCCTGTGGCTTTCTGTCTTTACGTACCATCTGGTGAAATATTTCTCTTTCACAAGAAGATGGCTTTCTTCTTTATTTTACTTCTTTTTTTTTAAATTTTACTTCTTAATTAGATTAGGAAACCTACCCTGACTGAAGAAGAGGGAAATTCTAAAAGAATCTAATGATGTAATACGTGGGTACTGAATCACAGGTAAAAGGTATAACTAGATTCATACTTCCCTACTGAATAATAATACTAATAATAACAATAAAGATAGTTATGAGGTGCTTCCTGTGCTTCAAGCACTGCTCTAAGTACTTTACATATATTAACATTTTATCCTTTCTATCCCCTGTGAGATAGGTACTAATATTCCTTTTTGTAAACAAAGAAATCAAGATTTAGAGAGGTTAATTGTAAAAGTCTAGAGCTGGCAGTCTCATTCTAGCGTTCATGTTTGTACGCACTAATACAGTGATGAGGTACACAATGTATATGTAGGCGCATTTTCCGGTGTCACTAAAAATTGATCCTGGGAACTAATAAGCAGTAAGCTTAATTACATAGAGCATTTCAGTGGAACACCTCATTTCCTTCATGATTCCTGATAAATGAGGTTTCAGTGTTGCTTGGGTTTTTCAGGTCTTAGGTTTGCTGAGTTGCCTTTAGAGCAGTTCCTATACTCCCAGTGCTCACTGCACTGGAGGCTTGTTCTTGGATGGTGTGCACCAGTGAAGTATCTTTCTCCAAACTTGGGAGCTTCCTATTCTTTTGGACTTCTTTTTGGATCCCTCTCTCTTAAATCTAGGTATTTAATATTGTTGGATTATCCTCTGTTATCGACGGATGGGTCCTACAATGGCATCCACCTAACAGAAACATTCTAAGGTTGAGGCACTAACTTATTTAGAATGAATTAGCATACCTACTTTATTCATTTCCGAACATTTGGATGTTACTGACTTTTTTTTTTTTTTTTTGCTTTTTGTTTTGAATAGAGGTTGTCTGGTGTATCGCTGCCAGAGCAAACAGATGCTAATTATCAGTACCTTTATAGCTACTACTTTTTATTCATTGATTTATCAAAGCTTTCTCTACCAAGTGCACAATTAATGAAGCATTGACAGTTTTTAATCAAGGCAATCCTATGGATTTTTTGAAAATGAATTGGCTAGATTCTTTGTTTAGCTGTTGGGAGATCTTGGACTCTGAAGAAAATCCAGGACCTTACCAGAACTTAAGAAGTCCAAGAATATTGTACTTTAGTTATGCTGCATGCTGAAAATAAGTTTAGAAGTGCTGACTTCCTGTAATACGTTTCTTAATTGTATTCTTGTGCTGCCAAAGGAGAGGAGAAACAATTTCTACATTTCGTTTTAGACATTGCTTGTAATGCATTAGGGAAAATATTTTCCCCTTGAAGAAAAATAGGAAAACTGCTTTGAAAATTTAAAAATCTATTTTCTGGCACTATAATAAACACATTTTAAAGATTTTATGTATTTATTCATGAGAGACACACAGAGAGAGGCACAGACACAGGCAGAGGGAGAAGCAGGCTCCCTACGGGGAGCCTGATGCAGGACTCCATCCCAGGACCCAAGGATCATGCAGATGCTCAGCCACTGAGCTACCCAAGCGTCCCAATAAACACATTTTAAAATAACTTTAAAATGTTTTGACACATGATTTATGTTCATGTAAGTAACTCACTAATATCAATAGAATTTCTTTTAATGAAATTCTTAGTGTAGATTCTGCAAAAGTATTTCTTAGTCATAAGAAGAAAATTCTTATTTTATAAATTAAATATTGTATAGTATCTCACATGAGAATAAAATATATATACATTTATACTATTTTGAAAATCAAATATTTAACATTTACTTCCTACCAATTTCTATATATTCAATGTAGATTTTACAAAATCAAGTTTTTAATAACTTGTTTTTCTTCTTTTTAAGCTAATATTTTAGTATTTAATCATGCCAAATACTATGACTTTAACTGTATTTCTCAATTAAGCCTTACTTAGGCATTCAATTTTGAAATGAAATGCCTTTTTTAGTATCTTTAAAAGATTCAGCTTAACTTTTGAAATCTTATTTATACTCTTAAAAAAAATAAATTAGAGATGGTTGAATGGCTCAGTCAGTTGAGCGTCTGCCTTCAGCTCAGGTCATGATCGCTGAGTCCTGGGATCAAGCCCCGTGTTAGACTCCCTGCTTGGCAAGGAGCCTGCTCCTCCCTTTCCCTCTGCTACCACCCCCCGACCCCCGACTCATGTACCTGCTCTCTCTCTCTCTCTCTCTCTCTCTCTCTCTGAGATAAATAAACTCTTTAAAAAATAAAAAAATAGATAAAAATTACTCTTATTAGACTTTTGAAGCAGTTCAGTAGTGAGATGTGTAGCATATTGAAGGTAGGTTAATGATCTTCAGATCTGTGCTAGGTATGTGTGTAGTAAGCATTGTCCCAGTGAAGCCTGAGTGCCACCCTAGGCTAGGATTAAAAATCTAATGGACTGGCTTCTGCCAGTGACTTCATGCTACTAAAATTTTTCCTGTTTATGCTTGACTATAGACATTCAAAGTACAAATGTTTTGTATAGGTTGTAAATATAAAGACTTACTATAAAAAAAAACTTAAATAATAAAAACCAATGAAATTTTTTGTTTTTGTTTTGGGGGCAATCCAGACGATATAAATGAAAACAGATACTCATATTCTTTCATCAGAAAATGGCCTACCTTAAATTGTACAACTGAAATATACTGTTTTTATAATGCATTGTAGCAGAAATAATTTCTTCTGTGTAAACAATCATTACCTTTTATTCTGTTTCTAACTAAAACTATAGGCAAGCTATGTTTCCAACAATAGGGGTCTGGAAAAAGTAGTATGGAATAGTATAGAGGCCTTAAAAATAATATTTCAGAAAAATATTGGTTCCCTTTGTCCTTAACCACAGCAAATTGGTGTTAACTAACTTAAAATATTACAGATCAGTATTCACAGTGTTTCCTGTTTTGGTGCATTGGTGCAGCATTGATTTTACATATCCCTAACTGGTTTTCTTATTTAAGGCTAGTTCTCTACTCTACCTGTTTATTTAAAATTTTTATATATCCAAATGAAACAATATCAACCACCATTTATTCTTCAGGATTTTGCCTTATAGTGATTTGATTCAAGAACTTGCCCTAAATTTCACTGATTCTTAATGTAGAGTATGATGGAAAACGTGTCATAGTGGAATTAAATTATATTTATTTGAATGAATTTTCTGCCTATCAATTAGCAAGTGACAGTTATGCATTAAAAGATATTTTATAATAAGTCTGTATGTTTAGAAAATACTGAAGATATTTTTGATGTTCAAGTCCTTTGGGAATAGGAGTGCCTGCAATTCCATAACCAGACAATTACAGTTACACAGTTTCTTGGTACACTCATTTTATTTTGGGCAGTGTGATTTTGAATGCATTATGAATCTTTTCACATAGCGTAAATTCCTTATGGGATGATGGGATGTTTTTGGTCTTCCTCTGATATTTTCCCTTTCTTCTCTTACTGCAGATGTCATATACTTTCCACCTAAAATTCTGACAAGTGTCGGGTCTAATGTTTCTTTTCACTGCATTTATAAAAGTGAAAACAAGATTGTTTCCTCAAAAAAGATTGTTTGGTGGCTGAATTTAGCTGAGAAAATTCCTCAAAGCCAGTATAACATGGTGGGTGACCGTGTTAGCAAAGTTACTTTTCCAAATCTGAATGCGACCAAGCCTCGAGGGAAGTTCACCTATGATGCAGTGTACTGCTGCAAGGAGCAGGAATGCCACCATCGCTATGCTGAATTATACGTGATTGGTAAGAATACTGAACTTCTCTTCATTTTCTTCCACAAGCAAATTGTTATGATGGGCCCTATATTAGAGTCCCATTGATAATGTAAGGAAATGTGATTTTCATTAAAAATTGTTTGATGTTTTTGCTTTGTATTAATATTTTAATGTGTTTTAAATAGATGTCAATATCAATATATCATGTGAAACTGATGGGTACTTAACTAAAATGACTTGCAGATGGTCAACCAATGCAATCCAATCACTCGAGGGAAGTACTTTGCAGTTGAGGTATCATAGGTATGTATTGTTTTTGCTGTTTTCTTTTTCTGTGGCTATGGTGAGATAAGACTTTCAGTAGAAATATCATCATAACAGTCCTCTAGTAGATGTTCTTCCTGAAAGAGAAAGATGGAATCTACTTGATTGGAAAACATTTGAGGGATTAAATAAATTGGTGGTTTTTGAAAAAATCCACATTGAGGTAAAAAATGTAGTTTTTTACCTCAAATTATTTTTTCTGATAATTGATTAATGTCCCATAATTGCATTTTAACTACAGAATGAAATCCAGGAAAAACTGGCTTCTGTACATTTTAATTTGACTTAGAGAGTTGACCAGAGGAGAATAGCAATGATTATAGAAGTCCAATGTCATTTGCTTAAGATTAATATTTTGGAAAAAAGCCAGAGGTAGTAGTGCAAAGATTGTGAGAGATAATATCAATACTTTTAGAAGTAAAAAAGATTAAGAAAGAAACATTAAGGAGTAAAGTGTTGTAATAAAAAGTAATTTGTGCTTGTTTATTTTTACCCTTCTCTGTTTTGAAAAGAATTCAAGGCATCATCTTCCTATAGTATCATCTGAAATAATAGCACTCTTGATTAGGAGACAGTAGATACATTTTTATTTTTATAATCTCTCATGGTGGTTTTCAGTTATGTGTACTGTTCTCAAACACCCTGTCTTAATTTGTGTTTGTTTTGGGGGTCTTCCAGTTTGTATCACTTGTCCTCATTTATTTTTAAAATCTAAGTTTTCTACTTGAAAAACAAATCCCCTTCCTCAAATACTGTAATCTGAATTCTATTCCTAAAGTGACCAGTCTTTTCTTTTGTAGCCTTAGAAAAACTGGGGCCATTTCTACATTTCTTACATGGGAGTAATAGCTAACTTCATCCTACCTGATATGAGTATTTTAAAATCAATAGAATATTTATGGGATGCCATTTTACTTTTATAATCTGTCTTTACTTTCTTTCCATGACATTTTTCACGTTAAAAAAGGTGTTTGTGGATGACCATCACATAAGCTCTGTGCATCATTTATCTTGCTAACATTTACAGAAGAACTACAGAGGCCCCTGCATGTACTCAGGCGGGTGTTTTAACCTCTTTAAGCTTAGATTTCCTTGTCTGTAACCTGGAGAGAATAATAGAACTTACAGGATTTCTGCAAGAATTAATGATATATTTCATTTAATTATAATTGATAGAATTTCTGCGGGTAAATGTTCAATAAATGGCTGTTGCTGTCATGATGACAAAGACACTAACCTTTGCGTTCCAAGTGGAGTATTAACTGTGCTTCGGTACATGGTCACGATTCTTCTTACCCTCAGAGGACTCTTCAAGCCTTATTCTCTTCTCTTCCCCCCACCCCCCAGCACTCATTCAGGCACACACCCCAATGACTGTAATTTTGAAGAGGTGAGCAGGAAAAATGTCACAAAAAATGGAAAACGAGAAACAGAAGAATATACATTTTTCATTTTCTTGTAACCTCCTTACAGCATTTATGGAAACAGTAACTGCAACTTTAACCATTTAAATGCCATATTCAGAGCAAATAGTGACAGCAGGGCTACTTCAAAGAAAAAGAGAAATGCTTTGTATGTTCTTGGGTAGAGTGTGGATCAGGACAGTTATAAAAATTACTTTCTTGGCGCAGCGGTTTGGCGCCACCTGCAGCCCGGGGTGTGATCCCGGAGACCTGGGATCAAGTCCCGCATCGGGCTCCTTGCATGGAGCCTGCTTCTGCCTGTGTCTCTGCCTCTCTCTCTCTGTGTGTGTTTCTCATGAATAAATAAATAAATCTTTAAAAAAATTACTTTCTTAATTTTCTTCTCTGAGAAAATGTGTTATATATCTAACCATATGATTCAGATATGAATCAAGAATTGGTATTATTTTCATCATATTGCTTTGAACTAGAAAATATTAGGACATTATCAATTAATCTATATTTTACTATCATTTATGTCTTCAATTTGTGGTGGAATTTAATTCCTATTTAAAGAGTAAGGGATTTATCTTTTTTTTTCCCAACAAAGGGGACACCAATTGGTAATGTTCCCAGTAATACTTGTGATCTATACATTTAAAATGGCATCACTTATGCATAATGTTAGCTTAACTTTCAAAGTGTTGTAGGTTCTACCTCTAATTGGATCCTTATCTCCTTGTTAGAGCAATGCCATTTATTTTATTTGCATTTCCACTTAGTACAATAAAATATTTAAAGGTTTATTGTCTATTTTTAGGGACAGATATAAAATTGTGGTATAGCTGGGAATCCAGAAATGCCTTTCCATTAAGAACATTTATTTTAGATGGAACAGACACTATGGTATTCTCAAATATCTTACTGCTTTCATCAATGTTGTATATTAACTGACTGTTCTCATATCTTTTAAGGAGCAGCCTTTATTGTTCTGATGTTCCATCTATTCATCCCATATCTGAACCCAAAGATTGCCATTTGCAGAGGGATGGTTTTTATGAATGCGTATTTCAGCCAATCTTTCTATTATCCGGCTATACAATGTGGATTAAAATCAATCACTCTTTGGGTTCACTTGACTCTTCACCAACGTGTGTGGTTCCTGATTCCGTGGGTATGTCAAACTGTGTTGTGTGTCTTCATTTTTACTAGCAGATTTGGATTCAAGTTAACTCATGGAAACTGTTGTGTTTTACCATTTTTTGATCACACGATATTTAAACATTTTTTTCATGTTTACAGTGGAATTGAGAAGACAAGCAATCTTACAAAGTTATGTCATTTTTATTTTATTTAAAGTTACATATAGCACAATATTATTGCCATAGGAATACTTTCAGCATATAATCTGGTGAGTTATATTGGTCATTAGGAATAAAATTTAGCAGTAATATTATTCTAAGTGATGCAGTGCTTTGTTTTTCTCCTAATATACTTGTGAAAACATTTGGTGTTTTCAATTTAAAAATTTAATTTGGGTATTGTGATGGATTTTGTAATCTGAGTAGTAAACCCAAGGGTTTAATTTGTGAGGCTATGTAGGATGCAGAAGGATTCAAAATAACTAAAGTCTGAAGAAGAGAAAATAGATCAAGGATGATGATATCCATCATGATACTTTACTCTTTTAAAAAGATATGTTAATTTCAAAGTTAAGAGCTCTTGAAATAAATAATATATTCCTCCAATATTGCTGAGAAATCTTTGAGAAATGACCCATTTATGACTATACAACAGAGGTAAAAGGATATCTTTTGGTGCTATATACTGTTTTGTTGAGAAATTAAGCCAGAAATCAATATTTGATTCATTATATTTTCAAATAGTTAGTATACATCTGAATTAAAACTTATATTTTGTTAAATATAGCCTAAAATCATAATTGTTACGGTTTTAAAAATCACTATAGAGTCCCAATTAATTGATTCTCCACATTGCCCCCCCACCCATGCTATTTAGTTTGATTACATTTAAAGTGATTTTACTGTAAGCAATACTTCTCTGTAACTGAACATCTTGGGACAGCAGAAAACCCTCCTACCACTCTCTACTCCACAAATATGCACAGATATAATCTCACATGTAAGATGTGACAAATGCAACATGGATTCAGTTCTATCTGCTATCCAAACCTTCAATGTTATTCTTCAATTTCAGTACTACAATAAGGAGTTTGATTCTATTAACTACTTAGTACTAGAAAACAATGTGGAGATTCAAATGCCAGCTCAATCTGTTACTACTTTGTGAACAGGGGCTAGACATGTATGTAAGTGCTCTGTGACTATTTTATCACCCATAAAATGTGAAAAGCTCCTCCTACCTTCCCAGTGTGTGTGTTGTGGGGATCATGCAAACTCTTGTACTTTAAGCATCCTTTCCGTAAACTAGATATTCATGGATTATATCCATATGACATCTGTATGATTCAGTTGAGTACAATCTTAGTGTCTCTCAAACATACATACTTTTTCTGAGGAGGGATTATCTTTCCAGGAGACAAAATGCGTGTCATCTTACTGGTTGGTGAAGAATGTCTTCTTCATATGTGAAGAATTGAATAAGTATGAGAACTCGTATAGTAATGAGAAAGTTTAGGGATTTTGGTTATCAACAGTCTAAGGTATTATTGATGAAGTCCAAAGCTTCAGAGTTCACACTGGTGTACTCTGGGACTTTGGGACATTTAGTTCCCAAATACGTTGAGTTTGCTTATTGTCTTTCTTTTTAATTTTTTTTGAAAGCTCTTACCCTTCTGATCATCTTTGCCTCTATTTCTGTCCTTCAAAAGCCTTTTTCCTTAGATGATAGAGAACCAGGGCTTTACTCTATAAGAGTATCTTGACCGTGGCCTAGAAATACTTAATAATAGTAGAACTGTTTGAAATTCACACATGTGGAAATGAATGCAATGTGTGTTATATTTTTCCTTTTATTAAAGCTCTATGTAGAACAGAGTATGCTATCGATACTTATATGTTCAGTATGGAATCTTTTGCATGCAGAACTAACGGCTCAGTTTCTGTTACTTGCAGAGTGACATGGTCAATGTATTGATTTTTTTTATCAATCTATTTGCAAAATAGAGATAATCCTTTTTTTTATGTGTCACATAAAATTATAGGAGATCAAGTGAGATAATGAATGAGAAAGCTTTGAGAAGGAGATATTGCTTTACAAATACTGAGTATAAGGGTACCTGAGTGGCTCAGTTGGTTAAGCATCTGCCTTCAGCTCAGGTTGTGATCCCAGGGTCCTGCTTCTCCCTCTCTCTCTACCTGCCACTCCCCCTGCTTGTGTGCACACACTCTCTTTGTCAAATAAATAAAATAAAATCTTTTAAAAAATAAGTAAGTAAATAAATAACTATTGAGTATCAAAGTTCTAACATCATAGTGACATTTTAAAGATATTGTCACTGTTTAAATTTCTGTTACATTATACTATTTTTAAAATTTCTAGTGAAACCGCTGCCTCCATCCAGTGTGAAAGCAGAAATTACTGTAAAAATTGGATTATTGAAAATATCTTGGGAAAAGCCAGTCTTTCCAGAGAATAATCTTAAGTTCCAGATTCGCTACGGCTTAAATGGAAAAGAAGTACAGTGGAAGGTACCTTTTACCTAGAAATGTCTTTAGCTTGCCTCACTAAATGTTATTTCTTACAACTATTTTAATAACTGTATTGCATAAGATTTATTTTATTGACATAAAAGTACATCTTCCTGTATTCTGTAATCATTTTTGTTAAATAGATTGCTTTAGGGTCTAACTCTTCTAAGGAATGACATTTCCCGCAATCCATCATTTCCCAAAGTGAGTGTGACAGAACATTGATCCCACAAAAGATTGCATGGCTGAATCAACTTAAGAAACCCGGCATCCCTAAGTGTTCCTAGTACAGAATCACATTATGTTACATATTAAAGATTCAGAGAGGTCCTGCATTAAAGAAGCATTTGTGAATTTATTTGTGACTTTTGTTTCATCCTGTGTTTCACAACTTCATTTTACTAAGGAACCCTTTTTCCTTTAACATCTAATAATATTCTTTAGTACATGCATGTTCAATGAGGTACTTTTTTTGGAAGAAGCTGCTTTAATCAAACAACCCAAATCACGTCCATAGTGGTAAGCGTGCTGTGATGACTGGCCACATCAGTTTTTAGATGGCAGTCTGAGAAGATCCAGAAATAGAAGGAACCCTAACTATGTCATTAGGTAATAAAGATTTTAGCTGAAAGGAATGTGACAGTTTACCAGCTTATTGAGGAGACTAAATATCAGAGATACTACTATGTAACCACTAGGTTAAAATTACTGTGAGTTTCTGTGGCTAGAGGATTAGTGGACAGAGATTAGTAGCAGAGTTAAGAGTGACTGGAGAGTGAGGCTGCCTGTAGGCCAGTCCAGATCTTGTCCTGAGAAGGGAACAAGATGACTAAGACAATCCTTAACTTGAAGAAACTCATAATCCAAGCCTACTACAAATATTTCTCAAGCCAGAAAACACAACATCAGTTCTCTCTGAGTTTTGGCATAGTATTAAGGTTGTACGTAGAATGCAGTTCAGGACCTGTTAGCTACGTAGGTGATAGTAATGATTAGTCTAATGTTTGGCCTTACTTTACAGATGTATGAAGTGTATGATGCAAAATCGAAATCTGCCAGTGTCCCGGTGCCAGAGCTGTGTGCAGTCTATGCTGTTCAGGTGCGCTGTAAGAGGCTGGATGGGCTGGGATATTGGAGTAATTGGAGTAGTCCAGCCTACACAGTCATCATGGATATAAAAGGTCTGTAGAGATTCTGTAAATGTGTCTTAAAAATGCACAAGGGTGTGTTTCCAATATGACTAAAAAACGTTCCTTCCGAAAACATGTATACAACCTAGGCTGCTTGTCGTTTTGCAGTTCCTACCAGAGGACCTGAATTTTGGAGAATAATTGATGAAGATACCTCCCGAAAAGAGAGAAATGTTACTTTACTTTGGAAGGTATTCCTACTTTTTATATTATTCTTAAATTTAATTTTTATACTCATGAAAGATTTACTTTGTTGTTCGTAATCCTGTCATTTTTAGGCTCTGCCGCCCCATATTTCGTTTTCGTTGTGAGATATGATTGCAGAGAGCTACGAGGAGGGGGCCCAGGCACAGAGGGAGGAAACTTCATTCTGTTCTCAGCTGAACATATTAGAGCTCGGTCAGCATTATTTTGTAAAAATCACTTAGACTCTTCAGCCTCAGTTTCCTGATCTGTATAAATGTAGGGCTGGACTGGATTATGCTTACTCAAATCTTACTCCTCACCTACCCAGGGATAGATGTTACACACCCTGCAGGGATACACATATATGTGTTTGTATTTTTTTTTTGTTATTATTATTTTTGACTTAGAAGAATCTTGGTGACAAAAAAATATATTGAGAGGAACTGTTCCAGTTTATTGTAGAGAGTCATTTTCTGTAGGTTTATAAGGGACTGAAAGCCCTTAATCTTATTTGAAACAGGTGATGGTAATGTGGCAAGTGGGGCATATTGTTAATACTCTGTAGATTGGAAGAGCAGAATTGGACTAGGCATATATTTTAAACTGGAATCATCAGTGATCTGGTATGATTTTTTTAAACTATGGTACAGAAATTCTGGGGTGTGATCAATATACACGATTCTGATAGCTTCTGCTACTTGAATTAGCAACAGATTAGAAGAAACCAAATGATAAATCTTACTGGGATTAACATAAATGATGATGAACATCTTTTCAGCTCTTTCTTGTTTATAGAACTAGAGTGTTATTCCTTGTTTGTTTTTTCAGTGAGGAAACTCTTGACTCCTTGCTGTTCTCTCTTTTCTCTAAAATTAGTGTGAAACTTCTTGCCATTAGTGTGAAACTTCTTCCTAATTGTATCCATACTTAATTATCTTTAAATGATTTATTCTCTGAGACTTAAGGGAAAAAATTAAAAGGAAGAAAATAAATCTCCTGTGTTCCATACCCACCCAGATGCCTTTATTGCATCAGTGGTCAGAGAGGGATCCTATCCTACCTCACCATCCCATCCCTCAGCCTTGAACTAGACAGGGCTTGTCCTGGTCTGACCCTGCCTCCCAGTGGGGAATGTATAAGAAGAGTTCATGAGCTTGGTTGGTATAAAAAGCACTGGAGCCCTTAAACTAATCAATTTTTATGTTTACTACAGCCTCTGATGAAAAATGACTCATTGTGCAGTGTGAGAAAATATGTGGTAAAACATCATACTTCCCGCAATGGAACATGGTCAGAAGATGTGGGAAATCACACTAAATTCACTTTCCTGTGGACAGAGCAAGCACATTCTGTTACAGTTCTGGCTGTCAATTCAATTGGTGCTTCTTCTGTGAATTTTAATTTAACGTTCTCATGGCCTATGAGCAAAGGTAAGAAAGGATGCAGGGTAGTAAACCTATGCCCCTTTCAGTATTTAATCTTTACATAATCCTCCCATTCTAAATGATCTCCAAGAAACCTGCAATTCTCTGAATCTGAGAGACTCTTCTTTTCTGAAAAATAGCAATGCAGATTGTACCCTGATGATGTAATATGGTCCTTGAGTCTTCATGTGATAGAACCATGTTGAAATAGTATTATGATAAATGAGAATATTCTAGCAAATCTGATACTTAAACCTTTTATTTTATTTTATTTTTTTTTTTTTACTTAAACCTTTTAGATCAATGGAAAATGTATGTAAATCAATCTCTTTCCTTGTCTCTCTCTGTGTATATATATGTATAAATAAGTACATGTACATGTGTGGGTTATATTTATTACATATATGTAATAGTATTATATATTATATGGATATAAGTAATTGCTCAGACTTGAAAATTAACCTGTACTTCATTTAATACGAGTGGTGAACCTTCTTTCATTAATTTTGTTATATTTGATTAATTAGAGAATTGAGAACTACCTTTAGTAGGAGTTTCTAATCTGGATTACATATTCAGAGTATAATTTTGTAATGAAAAATTCAAATCTTCTGTACCTCTACTAATCTCTTCCATGAAGTCTTTGCTTATTGCTTTAATGAGATATGTCCTAAATCAAGGTGCTTCCTACCTTTCTTAAGGTATTTTATATCTTGCCTTACATTATGATTACTTTTGTACATATGTCATAAGCTTCTTGTAAGTTCCATAGCACTTGTGCAATGTTTTACATTTAAAATATTTTCAACTAGTATGTTTTGGAAATATTTATTGGCTGTTCCACTGTGTTAGGTGGTGGGAATTCCAATGTGAGAAAAACTGTAACAGTCTCAGCATTCAGAAACCATTCAGAAACCAGCAGAAAATCCCGAAAGGCTGGGAGGTAGCCTGAGGCTTGGCCCAGACATGATAGGCAGTTTATCCTCACATGTGGAGATCCAGTGGAGGCTTTTACATGGGACTCTGTGGAGGGTGTTAAATAATCAGATTTGTTTGAAAGCTCAACTCTCTTAGCAGGAGAGAAGAGTTTGGAAGGAAGTAGAGAGGGTGAATAGGCTTGTGCAGTATTCCAGTGGAGAGCAACTTTCTTGCCTCTATCCAAAAAAAAATCCCATTTTGGTTTTTCCTCCATGGCATATGTTCCCACATCTTTCTGCATATGTGACTCTGTGGTATAAAAATAATTGCATTATATTTACTGATGTAGATCTTAGCCTTCTCTTCCTTTACCCTTTCTCCAATAGGTTATATGTGCCTCAAATGTATTAGATTTTTTAAAATTAATTTTGAATTTAAAAACAAATTTCCTTCTTTCCCCCTCAGTAAATACTGTGCAGTCACTCAGTGCATATCCTTTAAACAGCACTTGTGTGCTTCTTTCCTGGACGCTAACACCCAGTGACTACTATCTGACGTATTTTATTACTGAGTGGAAAATTCTTAATGAAGACAGTGAAATCAAATGGCTTAGGATCCCTCCATCTGTGAAAAAGTATTATATCCACGGTAAGTTTGCTGTGCTTTAATAAGTTTCTCTTATGGATTGGCATGAGAGTGATTATTAATTTAAATAGGATAGCCAGTTAACGAAAACTTCAAAAATATAGATCTGGTATAAAATATAGATGTGGTACCATCTTACCACATATAATTCTATCACTTTTTTTTTAAAGATTTATTTATTTATTTATTTATTTATTTATTTATTTATTTATTTATTTATTTATTTATGAGAAACACACACACACACACACACACACACACACACAGAGGCAGAGACACGGGCAGAGAGAGAAGCAGGCTCCATGCAGGGAGCCTGATGTGGGACTCGATCCCAGGTCTCCAGGATCACACCCTGGGCTGCAGGTGGCGCTAAACTGCTGCACCACCGGGGCTGCCTCTATCACTTTATAATAAACATTCAGTTCTGTTTCGTCGATCCTTTTTTTAAAAAAATTATATTTATTTATTCATGAGAGAGAGAGAGAGAGAAGCAGAGACACAGGCAGAGGGAGAAGCAGGCTCCATGCAGGGAGCCCGACGTGGAACTCGATCCCAGGTCTCCAGGATCATGCCCTGAGCTGAAGGCTGTGCTAAACCACTAAGCCACCCGGGCTGCCCTCATTTGATCGTTTTAAAATATTTTACACAGTTGTAATCATATCATCTATCACTTTTCTTCTAATTTGTTCATTTGATATACCACAAACATATTTCTATTTTCTCCCCAATCCTTTTAACCATTATTTTTAATGATCATACAGCATTTTATTCCTAAGTCTATTTAATCCTTTTATTTGAGAACTTTTTTGTTGCTTCCAGCTTTACTTTTTTTTTTCTAGGCTATTTTTTAATGGCTTTTTTTATCTACCACTAAATTGTTTTCCCAAATCTGTGTACCAACTTATAATGCCAATAACAGTGAGTGGGAATGCCAGGCTAAAGGTATACAAATGTAGGACTTAGTGATGTAGGCAGCATAAACTCCCCAAAGTAAACTGGTTGCCCCAGGAAGTGATTAAAATATGAAGTAAATGTGCACAATACAGTATCTCCAAGTCTGAGTAACATTTTAGTAGGGCACCTAACGATTGCTATGACCCTATTATACAATATCACTCCAGAGACTTTTACTTCTATTCATTCCAAAGACCCTAGAATTTAGCATCAGGGCAAATAGAAATGATTGTTAGAGAACTAGATTCAGTTCATTACTACTGTTGTCCAGACGGTTAGTCTCTGTGCTTTTCTTTAAACCATGGAAATACATAATTTAGGCTTCAAAGAGATTTATCCCTTGTGGAATATTTATATATCATTAACATTTGTAAAAATGATACATCACTGATTGATTCATTTTGAACTTTGCTATACAGATGGTTGTCCCCCTGACAGGGGGACCCCTGGATAAGCAAGGGGACTCCTGGCCCCCACCTCCACTTCTTTGTATTTCATAAGACTCAGTCTCTTAGCTGCCTTGAATGGGGGAAAATAAGTAAGCTAAATGCTTATGAAAGGGGAATATTGCTAGCTTTGGGGATATGGGAAAGAAGGTAGGGCATATTGTCCTGGAAAGGGAAAATGGATGTAACATACACTGTGAGCTTGATCAAACTGGGTATCATTGGATCATGCCTTTGATAATTGGAATATCCTGTCTCTGGGTAATATTTTCAAAAATTATTTGAAAATTATTGTTATTAGTTGGAGAATGTGATTGCTTAGGTTGTTTTTGAAACTCTCTTCATCATCAGTTTCAATCCATAAATAACTTATTTCTATGTTTGGAAAGATAGGAGAGTCACCTAAAATGTTTTTATATAGGTTTCACATGTTAATATTAATTCAGTAGGAATGACCCTTTAATATATTTTTCTCCTCAGATCATTTTATCCCCATTGAGAAGTATCAATTCAGTCTTTACCCAGTATTTATGGAAGGAGTAGGGAAACCGAAGACAATTAATAGTTTTACCCAAGGTAAGAATTTTCCTTTTGGTTTCTTTTTACACAGATGTGTAGTTTCTCACTCAATTAGCAGTTATATTACCATCTTATTTTCTTTTCAATGGAGTCATGGATGAGTCCAGAGTCTTACATAGATGTGCTAAGGAGTGACAGTAAGGGTATGGGGTTCCTTGGTGGTAGTACTGAAAATTAAAATTTTCAGTCTCAAATTGGGTAAAAAATTAATGGAAACAAAATAAAGGAAAATGTACAGTAGTATAATAGAACATATCATCAGAAAGACTAATTAGAAAAATAGTAATTTTCTGTTGATATAAATGCATCTACTCCAAACAATATGTTTTGGGGTACATACTTAGGAGCCTTTAAATTTTAATCAGTCTTTTAAAGGAAACATTTTTCCTCTAAAAATAAAACTGGAAAAATAGTTATAGAAGTAAATTCACTGTGCCCCTTAAATTCCTGATTCATCTTAATAGAATATCAACATTTTGATTTTGTGATTATTGCATAAATTATCTTCAAATCCAAGCAAACTAATAATGAAGTTTCAAGAGAGAAATATTTTGCCTGGTTTTAGAATTCAAATAATTATAAACATTCATTCATTTATTATTTGACACATACAGGCTGGGCACAACTGGGACTTGAATAGTAAATATCAGTCTTTGTCCTTACAGAACTTAACACCTAGTGCCTGAATGTGAGTGAGAGTAAATAAATCATGTATAATATAATGGCAGAGTGGAAGAAGTGCCATGCTTGTTGTGATGAGCACTGGGTGTTGTATGTTATGTGATGAATCACTAAATTCTATTCCTCAAACCAATATTACACTACATGGTAACTAACTAGAATTTAAATAAAAACTTTAAAAAATTACTTGGGCGCAAAAAAACCCCAAAATCAATGAAAAATAAATAACATAAGAGTGGCAATTGGTAATAATTAATAAAAGGACTAATTTAATAATAATAAAAAATAAGTGCCATGAAGTAAAATAAAGGTAAGATGAAAGGATAGAGTTAAAATGTGATTCTTTAGGGGCACTTGGGTAGCTCAGTGGTTGAGCATCTGCCTTTGGCTCAGGTCATGATCCAGGTGTCCTGGGATCAAGTCCCACATCAGGCTCCCTGAAGGTTTTTCCCTTAGCCTATGTCTCTGCCTCTGTCTGTGTGTCTCTCATGAATAAATGAATAAAATATTTTTTAAATAATGATAAAATGTGATGCTTTACTTAGGATGGCCAGAATTGGTCTTTTTCTCTGTGTAAGTGACATTTAAGTCAAGCCATGCAGGTACCAAAAGAGAATAGCATTTTAGGCAAAGGGATATAGCAAGTACAAAGGTTCTGAAGAGTGAGCATGCATGGTGGCTCAAGAAAAGCAAGATCAATGTGTGTGGAGCAAACAAGGTAGAGATTGGCAGGTGTTGAAGGTTGGCTTCTCTAGAAGCAGATCCTGAGACAGAGAGTCATCAAAACAACTTTAATTGGCACTTTGACTCATATAACCTAAACTGATCACATGGAATTAGCAAAAAAAAAAAAAAAAATTATTTATTTATTTATTTTTTAGCAAAAAATAATTTTAAAAAATGTTTTGCTAACTTACAGTAAGCATAATTCTGCATAAAATAATGATTTCAATAATGTGATCATAACTATACTTTTATCTTTTCTTATTTTTATATCTTTAAAGGTAATACAGACTTATGGTGAAATCAGAAAAAGTCTGCTGTAATTTTTGATACAAAAAGATGTTATTATTCCCTCAAGCTTCTGAATCATGTGAATTGTATCTCTTTTTCAGATGATATTGAAAAACACCAGAATGATGCAGGTCTATATGTAATTTTGCTGATAATTATTTCCTCTTCAATCTTACTGCTTGGAACATTGTTAATATCACACCAAAGGTATTGTACTTGTTGTAATGAATCTTTATGACACAAGCCCTTGAGCATATTTAAACCTTGATTTTAAACCCAAATCAGAAACATTAAAGTATCCTAAATACATTTATGTGTTATTCAGTATACAATTAAGATGGCCTAAAAAGAAAAGACCTGTTTTCAGGAAACCACATTCTGTTTTGCTGGCACAACACAAACGTCATGGAAGAAATTCATTTTTTAAATGTAAATACATTCAGGAAATAGTAAGCTTATAACAGGAAATCCTAGGCAGTATGTTCTCAGAGATGGCAAAAATGGCTTTTAGAGCTGTACTATTTGGGTTAAGGACTTTGAGCGGTGAAGATTAGCTGAAGTGGTCAGTTCATTTATGATTAGGAAGCACTCCAGTTTTTAAAAATCAGCAGTGTGTGGTTCCCCAGCCTGTCTGGTTTGGCAAATGGCCTTGAGTTTCTTCAGGTTGCAGGGTGCCATATCACCATGTGCCGAAAGACTTAGACCTATGAAATTATTTCAACGTGTTAAATCTCTGCAGAAACTTTTGTCTAATAGCAAAAAAAATTGATGGGAGATTTTAGAATCTGAGTATACCTTTTAGTCAAGTGCACTGATGGGGCTATATCAAGTAGAATTGTTTCTGAAACTCTTGATGCCTCCCCCCCCCCCCTTTTTTTTTGAGAGAGAGAGAAAGAGACAGAATGGAGAGGGGAAAGCAGTGGAAGGAGAGGAGGAGAATCTTAAGCAGGCTCCTCACTGGGCCTGCTTCACATGGAGCCTGAGGCAGGGCTCAATTTCACTACTCTGAGGTCATGACCTGAGCTGAAATCAGGAGTCAGATGCTTAACCAGCTGAGCCATCCAAGTGCCCTGATGGCCACTTTTAATATATTATTTCTCCAGAAGAAATCCACATAAAGCCTTTAGCATAGTGCCTGGCACAGAGCTTTCAATAAATGTTGGTTATTTTATTATTATAGAGATTATTAACTTTGATCTAGATATAATGTTGGTAGAAATCTTCATGGGATAGCATGTGAAAATGAATCATATTCTACTGAGAAATAGCTGATCTAGAGATTAATTTCTAGTTTATGCATTAACTGTGAACATTTTCAATATGAATATTTTTTGTTTATCCTTCGTAGAATGAAAAAGCTGTTTTGGGAAGATGTTCCAAACCCCAAGAACTGCTCCTGGGCACAAGGACTTAATTTTCAGAAGGTCCCATTTTCAATTGTTTTAACCCCAAATATATAAGATTGCAATTTAGATGCTCTATGCCTTATATAGCATCAAACATTTTTAAGGTTTGAAATATTTTAAGAATAAGGTTTGAATCTTATATTATTCAATTCATTTAAATATGAGTTCTGTTCATTACGTATTTTCAAAAATAGCAGAATACAGGGATTTAAAATTAGAATGAAACAAAATTCAGTAGGTAGTTTTCCATATGAAAATTAAATATAAATATATATATACACACATATAGATATCTTCTGTGTCATAGTGTATAATAAATATTAGAATATTAAGGGTTCAATCTGATGGCAAACAGATATTTAGATATACTTTTTTGGTGTAAATCAATTGTCTTTAGGTAAAGGCTGGAATCAATATTTTTAATCCCTCTAATTAGTGTCATAATTATTTAAGTCAACGAAAAACTATATAAATAATACTGTCCTCAAACACTACAACCTGAAAAAATGCAATTATCCTATAAAAGCTTACATTTAAGCACATAGTTTTTTTCAAGCTTAAGTACTTTATGAATTAGGCAGCTGTAATAAAATTACTTGTCCAAACATCTTAGAATTTCTCAGAAAACTCTAGAGTTTAACCGATGTTTTATTAATTCTCATAATTTCCCCTGAAGCAAGGTTGGGTTTCCACCCATAAAATTGAGAAAATAGAATTCAGTTTTCATGTAAAAATATATCTACAATGTCTTAAATAGTAATCATTTTGAGGTTATTGAACAGTCTCAATGATTACATCTTTATCCTTAGTTACTGTTAAAAGTCTTCAGTGGCTTCCTTTTAGCTACAAGTTAAAGTACAGTCCCTTTACGGTAGTACTCAGTGACTTCTCTCTACAATCTGTTACCAACCTACATATTCTATATCTTCTGTGCCTGGGCCTTGATCATGCCTTTGTGTCCCCTTTACCTTCACAGACCGCCCCTCCTCCACATTGGTGAAAACCTCTTTTTCCCCAAACCTTCCTTTAACAAAAGTAGTTCAGAAGAATTTCTCCCCTTCTAATTTCCAGAGCATTTTACTGTTTAATTTATTGTGAAAGTGCTCTGAGTTCCTAGGGTATGTTTTACCCCTTACAAATACATGTTGAACTCTTGCTACATGGGAAGTATTAAAGTAGAGATTCTTTAAAGCATTGCTAGTAATTAAGAGTGCCCGTTCATATATGTGCAATTCACTGAGATACATTATACTCTTATATGCATTAAGATTTTTGCTTCAATCCCCAGTATCTTAGCTTCCTTTCCTGTAAAATGAGGTTTAATGGAACTTACTTCATAAGGTTGTTTTGAAGATTAAAGAAGATGATACTTGTAGCATGGTAAAGTCTCAGTAACTATTAGTTATCATTATTTTACATATTTAGATTTTTAAAATTATTATTCTTTCAGTTACATGGTGGGATAAAGATCATTATTTCCATTTTATAGAAGAAAAAATTGAAGCTTATAGTGGTTAGGTATCTTGTTTTAGAACCAGGCTTGGCTTGCCCATTTGTGTGACTACGGGGCCTGTTTCACTAGTCATTCTTCTCCAGAGCAGTGACTTTCAATTTTTTTTTTAAATTTGACCATGACCTACAGTAAGAAATACATTTTACCTTGCAGTCTAGTACATGCATAGATATCAATATGCCAAACTGAAATGATTTTGTTATATGCAGTGGTCTGTTTTTAAAATTCTGTTTTCTTTTAAAAAAATCCTGGTTGCAACTACTGATGTCATATACTACTGGCCTATGACTTGCAGTGAGAAAAACACTGCTCTATAGCTTATCAATAAACAAATAAGCAAATTTGTGATATTGTAGATATAATAGTAGAAACAATTGTAATCTTTCAGCAGAAATGATAAGGTCTTATCCTTAGACCAGGCAGCACAAAATGATCATTCTCTTTATAGAAACTTGACTTTGTTTTGAGCCCACTCAGTCCCATACTGTAAACCTCTCAGCTATGCCCTTATGCACTTTAAGCCGTGGAATCTTCCTTTCATTAAACAGAACTCATGATTTTTTTCAATTAGTAAAATATTTGTTCCTCCCCTGTCTCTTCCATTATGGATTCACACAGTAACATTTAATGTAGCTGTAGTGATATTTAAGCCATATGTATTCATTCATTCAATAAGCACATAGTGAGTATTTATATGTAAGTCTAGGATGTTGCTAGGATCTTGGGAAACAAATTTTTCAGAGATTCTCCTTACTATCTGGGAAGTAAGATGGTAAGGTTATAGAGGAGTGGTTGAGTGGAAAGCACAATAGAAAGAACTTGTCTTCTTTACCATCTCCAGAATAGTTTATTCATTTTAAAATTAATTCATTAGTTCATTTCACTCATTCATTCACAGGCTATTTATTGAATACCTATCCTTTCCTAATCACTATATTATACCTTCAGGTTTTACTGATTAGGAAAACTGAAACTCCTGGAGTGGACAGTCTAGTGTGGAAATAAGCATTAATCAATGATAATGGAAATAATAATGTATATATGATATATATAACATACTAATACTTATAAATTACATATTGTGAAAGAAAAGGATCCAGTGTGCTGAGCTTATTGTGTGGGATGGATGGGGATGAGAGGTAAAGATAGGAAAGCTAGGCTCTGAAACATGAGTAGTCATTGACTAGTTTTTGTGGTGGAGAGGTAGAGCCCAGACAAAGCCACCTTCAAATACAAAGCCCTGAGGTAGGAAGGATTGTAGCACATTCACAAACTGAAAATAGGGAGGTTAAAGGAGGAGACTATTTGTCTTAAATATGAATAGTTCTTTCTTTTAATATGAGCAATTTTTTTGGTAAAAAAACTATATATGTAAATAAAAATTTTATTTTTATATTTTTAAAGATTTTATTTATTTATCTGAGAGAAAGAGAGAGAGAGAGAGAGAGAGAGAGAGAAAACAAGCAGGGGGAGTGGCAGGCTGAAGGAGAGGGAGAAGCAGACTTCCCACTGAGCAGGGAGCACAACTTGAAGCTTGATCCCAGGACCCTGGGGTCATGACGTGAGCCAAAGGAGACACTTAACTGACTGAGCCACCCAGGTACCCCTGTCAAAAATTTTTAAATGTCACTATATGAGTATATCTGAATGCAGGGAATAACCATCTTACTGTCCCTTTAAGAGAAGCTCAAATTCTCTCTCTTCAGTGAAGCTCTGAAATCTCCCCTATGTACCACCATGAAAATAGTTTCTAAATGTTTACCAGGGCAGGGAAACAATCAGGCTCACCTCAGCATATGAAGTTTGAACCTGCACCAAGTGATCTTACCCCTTTCTGGAAGATGACCGGCGCAAAGGAACCCCTTGGTGGATAGAGGTTGAGTCAGTGAACGTTTGTAGACTATCTGCTACCCTCCTGTCTCACACACGCGCTCCGAAGATGAGCACAATGTTGCAGCAGATCATCTGACAGATATTATTCACAAGGAGAATGAAATATCACTCAATTTTTCCATGTTCTAGTAAACTGAAGAAACGCGAAGAATTTTTGAGATACTGTCGGTGTGAATATATCCTTATTTGTAAGATTGATTTATTTCCCTCTGAAATTGTTTGACTTTATAATCTGACAAGATATTATTTGAGCATAACTAGTCTTCAAGATGCTTAGTGTATTTCTAGGGCTTAACAGGTACACAGATAACATAGGAATAATTCAGTTTTGGAATATAATATGAATATTTGAAAAGTGAAGCAGAATATGATTTCCAAGATTTTTATTAATGATAAAAATCTAATCTTTTAAAATTCAATAACAAAAAAAATCTCTTCTACTTTAATCTTCTAAATAACTAAAAATACACTTTTTTAAGGAAAAATAATATAGTGTAACTCATGCTGTATTTCTAGTGAGGTTAAGGCAAATTTACTATTGGCTCTTTGCTTTCATATTCATTTATTTTATTTAACTCTCTCGTGGCCTAATAGTCTTATATGTTCTGATGACCAAACTGAGTCTCAGAGTGGTTCAGTAGCTTCTCTTGATCATCTAGTCTCTAGTTATAAAAACCTGGGTTAAACCCAAGTGCATCAGACTCAAACTGCTACCCTTGCCATCAGTTCCATATTAACAGTGTATTGTGTAATGTAACTAATGCCACTAAACTGTACACTTAAAAGCAGTTGAAGTGCTAAATTTTATGTATATTTTTGAAAAATTTAACAAATGAATAGAAATCGGAATAGACATTTCTGCAAGAAAGATATATAAATGGCCAAAAAGCACTAATGAATATATGCTCAACATCATTAGCTCTTAGGGGAATACAAGCCAAAACCACAAGATACCACTTTACACTAGCTAGGATGGCTATAATCAAAAAGACAGTAAGTGTTGGTGAAATGGAGAAATCAGAACTCGTACTCTTCCGGTGGGAATGTAAAATGATGCAGCCTTTTGGGAAAATGGTCTTTAATTATTCTTTAGTAGTTAAACAGAATTACTGTATGACCCAACAATTCCATTGCTAGGTATATATCCAACAGAAATGAAATCATGCAGACATTTATACATGAATGTTCATAGCAGCATTGTTCATGATACCCAAAATGTGGAAACAAGCCAAATAACTACCAAATTATGAGTAGATAAGCAAAAGGTGATAAATCCAATTTTAAAACAAAAGGAAACAACAAACACAAAAAAACCTACTGCATATTGCAAAGCAAGTGGACTGTGACAGCCCATTGCTCTTAAAAACATTTATAGTATTTTCAGAGGAGATAATTTTTTACATGATTTCTTTAATTTGTTCTCCAAATTCAGATTATTTTTAAACATTGGGTTTTTTTTTAAATATTTTATTTATTTGAGAGAAAGAGAGCACAGAAGGAGAGGGAGAAGCAGACTCCCTGCTGAACAGAGAGCCCGATGCAGGGCTCAATCCCAGGACCCTGGGATCATGACTTGAGCTGAAGGCAGATGCTTAACCAACCGAACCACCCA